CCCCCACCTGCCAGCTTCGGGGTTTTTGCTTGTTAAACATACACAGAGTCAAATTTACTTTTTTCAGTTTAGAGTTCTGAGTTTGGACATAGATTAGTATTGTGTAACCATGACCAGAACCAAGAGAGAAGACACTTCTGTCCTCCCAGAATTCTCTATGCTACTATACTTTATATATACTATACTTTTATATATACTATACTATACTATACTATACTATACTATACTATACTATACGATACTTTATGATACTATACTATATGATATGATACTATACTATACTATACTATACTATACTATACTATACTATACTATACTATATTATACTATACAGCCCCCACCCTGCCCTACCACTTACAATTTTGCCTTTTCTGGAATGTCAGGGGATGACATAATACAATAAATAGCCTTCTGAATCTTGCTTATTTCGTTGGCAATAATGCATTTTGTGTGATGGCATGTATCCATTCTTGTTCATCACTGCATACTAATTTATTTTTTTCTTTTTTTGCCTATTTCTCCTTTGGTTTCTTTCCAGTTTGGTGAAATTGATATGGAGACTGCCTACATTGAGAAAAGAAAGGAGATAGCAAAGATAAGAGACCAGACACCCCTCGCCCTGAGAGAGAATGATGGAGAAGGATGTACCCAATGACGTTCCTGTGCCCTCAACCCCAGAGGCTCTGATGCAGTGGTATTGTGTTTCCCAAAATATTGTGTACCCTAATAAACTTATCTGGGGTCAGGGAACAGAAAAGCCACTAGATACTTAGGCTAGAAAATGTTGGCACTCAAGCCTTTAATCCTAGCACTCCAGAGGCAGAAATCCATCTGGGATCTCTGTGAGTTCAAGGTCACATTGGAAATAGCCAGGCATGGTAACACATGCCTTTAATCTCAGGGAGTAAGCCTTTAATCCCAGGGAGTGATGGTAGAAGGCAGAAAGATATATAAGGCATGAGGATCAGGAACTAGAAGCATTTGGCCTGTTTAAGCATTTGGCTGGTTAAGCTTTTAGGTTTTGAGCAGCACAGTTCAGCTGAGAGCCATTCAGGTATGAGGACACAGAGGCTTCCAGTCTGAGGAAACAACATCAGCTGAGGATCTGGCCAGGTGAGGTTAGCTGTGGCTTGTTCTGTCTCTCTGATCTTCCAGCATTCACCCCAATACTTGGCTCTTGGTTTGATTTTATTAATAAGAACTTTTAAGATTCCTGCTACACTCTGGTGTAGTGTTCTGTGTGTGTAACTTGGGGATTGCTTTTGAACTTACTCCCCAAGTGTGTTTCTGCTCTTTGTATACACAACCCTCCTCCAATCTCTTTGATATTGAGCATAAACTTTAATTTTTTCCTGCAGAATTATGTAGGAAAGCTGCCTTGTTTTGTATAAAAATCCCCATAATAATCATCCCATCTGCAATGATGTTAATTGGCTTAAGTTTGGAACACATACATAAAATAGGGATGTTTTATGATTAAATGAACAATACTTTTGTTTGACACTAAATGGTTCTACGGTTACAATTCCTTTCTTGTACAACACCACATTTCCTGCAGTGAATTGTCTCATTTCCCCATTTTCTTGTTTCCCATATACTCTCCTGTTAGTTCATCAACAGATGAACAGATCCTGACCATCCATTCCTTTCTTCCCTGCAGCCCTTATCCCTGTCCTTTCAGTCCTAGTGGCAGGTTTTTTCTGCACTATCCTGAGAACCACATTCCTTATGCTGTTGGCTGTATGCTCTCTGTGGCACCCTGTGCCTCCTGTCACTCTGTGCCCTCATGTCACTGAGTCACACCTGTCACTGGCTCCCTCTGGAAAGGTACAGGGCAGGTAAACTTTTAAAAAATGGTTATTGCAAACCATTGTGTTCTGTGTTCATTCTTGACAACTTGGGCATTCTTCTTGCCCATTGATGTCATTCCATCCTTTTTTTCTAAATGCCAGTGCAAATCACAAGAAGGCAGGAGCTGCTGTAATACAGACAAGTCTTCAGCGGTCTAAAATTTCATAACGGCATCCCTGGTGTGATCTTTTCAGCCACATTGCTTGATGCTCAGTGGACTCAACCTACACTTGACGTCTTATATCATGGAGCCCTACTGTCTCATATTTCTTCTCTGATACTTTCTGTCCCTTCACTTTCTCTGTTCCTGTTCATGTCAGTGACTATTTGACTGATATCTTGGATTGATATTTATATTTTTATCTGCTATTATTTATATCTTTGCCTTTTTGGCCACCTCTCAATGTAGAGTTGATGGTATCATCTTTCTTGCTTTTTCCGGATAGCCTCTCCTTTACATAATTTCTCAAATATGATCTTTTCTAATCCAATATATTCTCCTGCTTTATTCTCTAGTCTCCTTCTGGGAGATTTTTTTTCCTTGATTGCTTGGTTTTCTCTTTTAAATGCTAGAAGATTTTCCTCAATTTTTTGAATGTCCTATATGTCTGTTTGTATTTATAGTGAGACACTAAAAACCAGGACAGGGTTAAACTCTCCAGTGCATAGTCAGGGACTGTCTAATGGCTGGGGCTCCCTTACAGTGACTCAATGGAACATGTATGTTGAGGTTTATGAATCTCTTTTGAGTCTGTACAAGAATGGTTTTTTTCATGCCAAATTTTAGAAATGAATATTCTATAAGCTCCATATTTCATTTACACAGCTATAAGGAGAAAATATGTAGAAATTTTACATGGAAAATCCTGGAAACTTCAATGATAACACATATTGTGATAATCAGCTTAATTATAACACAACAGGAGAGAAAATTCAATTTCCCAGGATGAATAAAGTTTAAAACTTAAGCAAACAAACAATTAACTCTAGCAAATAGATTTTTCTATGGTATACAAAGGTTCAGGATTATGACTTATGATAACTATTGTGTTTCAGAGCTTACACATCCTGGAGACTGTCTGCCCTTAGAAAGCAAATATTTAAGAGGTGGTATAATTCTGCTTTCAGCAGTCAGAGCATGTGTAAACTCAAAAATTCACCAGAAGACAGAAGGAGGACTTTGCCCTTTTGGTTCAGAATCTTATTGTGTTCTTGATACCATGAAATGTAAAGTCCTCTGTTATTCATCTCTCACTGATGTACCGAAAATAACACTACACTGAATCTAAAATATTTAATCTAATTAAGCTCTAATTTCTCATCAAATACATTTTTGCCTTGTAAACCACTACCCCTTTGTCACTTTAGCCACATGTAAATTAAATTGTTTTCAAGGTAATAAATTTTACCTTGGTTAGTCATCTTCTGAGAAATGTCCAGTCTTCTGCTTCCTGTGGGGACACGAGGAAGTGGGGGCTAGAGGTGACAATTTTAGCTGCCATCTTTCCTGAGATAAGAAAAGGAAAGTAGTAGGAAGGGACTCACTGTTTAGTGTGTCGTCTTTCCTTCACATCATCCGGATTTCCAGAAAGTAACTCATTCCCATCTGCCTTATATTGCATTCCACAGCATCTTAGTGGAGTCCTGGGAGGAAGCAACCAGAGCAAAAACTGTATGTGCCCAGCAGGAAATAAAAAAATTCAACTAAAAGTTCTGATGAGAGCCTTTGAATGTGAGAAGTGCCTTCACGAGATCATTCAGGGAAGATATGAGAACAGATTTTATTTTACTATTTATTTTTGCTCAGCTGCTCATACTGGCGAGAAAACAGAAGTACCGGCTGTTGAACTGCTGCCCTGACTGTCTATGGCAGAGACTCCTGTCTCAATGCACACGCCTTTCTTCTCTCAGGAGCTCAGTTTCAGAGTACCTTGCTCTTTGTAGTGGTTACTCTGCATGATCAGCCTAATTGGATTGAGAAGTGCCTAGACTAGCAAATCTCACCTCTAGGTGTGTCTGTGAGTGTTCTCTAGAGATGATCAACTAAAGGGGACTCTCCCTGAATGTGGGCCATGCTATCCCAAGGCTGGGGGTCCGGGTGGAATAGAAGAGGAATGGGGAGAGCCGCTGGTGTGTGGTTCTCTGTACATACTTCCTATCTGTCATGAGGTGAGCTGCTTTGCTCCACCCCACACTGTTGCTGTCGTCACGTCCTGCCTAACCACAGGCCCCAGGAGCATGCCAACCATCCACTGAAGAGTCCTGAAACTGTTGGCCAAACACCAGTCTTTCCTTCCTTTGAGTTGGCTTCCTGGGGTGCATGTCACAGGATGGAAAACTAGCACACCATCTGCCTGAAAGACGGAAACTCCAAGCTCCCCATCAGGATGGCAACTCCGAGCCTCTGCTGCAGCCACATGTGGCCATGTGTGTTCTAGTCTCTGAAAAAGTGTACAAACATGGTATATGGAACTTCTGGAAGGTCTCCTGAAGATGAAAACAACTTGCTTTCTTCTCTCCCTCTGTCCTCTTTCCTTATAATCAGGTGAAATTTGGTTTAACTAACTGCCATCTTGAATCTTGAAGACTTTGCCATACCCCGTCAGACTGATGACTCTGACATCATGAAGAAGGTTAGGCCATGGCATCTTCTTACTAAAACATGTGTCATTAAGTGACTTCCCTAACCCATTTGGGGGCCCAGATAAATAAAACTGTCCTATTCTGTGTCTTCTAAACTTTCAGGATTCTGAGGGCCTGTGCACCAGGATGCCTCTTACAGAATTTCCCTCCTCAGTCCTAGCTTACAGCTATCCTGTTACCCAGGATGCTTCTCTAGAATTCCCTTCTTCTGCAGACATTTTAATCAGATAAACTTAGATCTCAAGTACAACTCAGCAATATTATACTCGGACACGGAAGTCAAATGAATTAGACCTACCAAACACTATCCAATACTTTTGTTTAAACATAAACTCTAGACCAGGTCCAATCTTTTGGCTTCTCTGGGCTACACTTGATGAGGAAGAATTGTTTGGGACCAAATGTTAAATCTAGCAGTGTCTAAACTGTGACTAAAGGGTTATGAGAACATACATATGTTTATTTTCTTGTAATATTGTGTCAGGATACTGTCATCTACAAAGTTCACAGAGAAACATTGAATCAAAATATTAAAAAGGGGGAGGGGGAGAAAATCACAAAACTATCTCATTATGTTTTAAGATTTTATGTTGGGCCACACTCAAACTAACCTGTGTAGTGGTATTTGCTCTGCCCATGACCTTGGACAGTACAACCTGTGCTTCTTACCTTTGTACATGACCCTTTAAAAAGAGAGGAGACAGCCGGGTGGCGGTGGCACATGCCTTTAATCCCAGCACTTGGGATGCCTTAGAGGAAGTGGGAATAGGGGGATGGGATGGCAGGGGAAGGCTGGGAAGTGGAAGGGGGAGGGGAGGGGATCTGTGGTTAGTATGTAAAATGAATAGAAATTTTTTTAATAATAAACAAATATTTTTTAAAAAGAGAGGAGAGATGGGTCACTTGGTTCCTTCTTTTTTTTTTATCCTGTTGTAAATGGCAAGAAGCACCACCTCCTTTGGGCTGTATAGCCCAAGGTCATGGGCAGAGCAAATACCACTACAAACCTGGGTCATGTGTGGCCTGTAGGCTGTGGGTCGGATATCTCTGCCTTAGACTCATCAACCCCTATGCTGCATCTCTGAGGTTTCCCTGTATCCAAATTCTCTCTGTCACTCCATTCAGTGACTCTGATTTGTCTTCTGGAGTATAGGATATTTTCTGAGCTACCCATGTACAACTCTCCCTGTTTTGTTTTTCTCAAGTGATGATCATTTTGATCAGAGACACACATTAGGTAGGTCCTGGACTTCATCTCTCTTTCCACCCCTCCTCACAATTGAATCCAGAGCCTCTAACCTTAATTTTGCCTGGGAGGTAAAATTTCCTACTGAAGCTCTAACAAATTACTACCAACTTAATAGCTTAAAACAGTACAGATTAATTATTGTAGGGTCCTGGTTGTCAGAATCTAAAATGGGTAAACTGGGTTTCACTCCCTGTTGGGCTCTGGAGCAGTGGTTCTCAACCTTCCTAATGCTGTGACCCTTTAATAGAGTTCCTCATGCTGTGGTGACCCCCAACCTTAGAGTTACTCCATTGCTATTTTGCAGCTGTTATGAATCACAGTGTAAATCTCTGATATGCAGAACATCTGATGTGCAGACCTTGTGAAAGAGTCATTTGACTCCCAGGGGGGTCTCGACCCACAGATTGAGAATCACTGCTCTAGGAGCTAGCCAGAACACAGTCCAGGAATGGAGTCGCATGAGAATTCTGAGTGCTTGTTAGAAAACGCCAAGAAAACAAGAGTTTCTTCAAAACACAGAATTGTTCTTGGAATGTGTTTTCGTGTTCCTTCCAGGTGTGGCAGACAGGAGTGAGTGGACTTCAGCTGTTGTTATTCATGCGCCACTATGGAAAAACATGTCTTTGCCATATGCAGCTTGTCTTTGTGACTGTATACAGCTTGAACGCGTGAGAATTTTACTCAGGTGAGCATTCTTAACCCTCGGGGTATCAACTGTCTGATGCTCTGAATGAAGTTGCCTATTGCATGAGACTTTAGTCCAACTCATTTTTAGGCCCCACCCTCCCAGGCTGATACTGCCAACTTCTTTACTTTCTAGATACCATTGTCATTCGGGATTTACTCCAACTTCTCCTTCCATTAGCACATCTCAGAATTCAATCCTTCTGTCTCCCTCTCAAGGCCTCTTATGATTTTACTGAACATCTCCATTTCAAGATCTCAATCACATTGATACCATCCTCTATGCAGGTGGGGTAGCATATATACAGGATCCAGGGACTGGAACGTGGCCATCTTTGGAGGTCATTAGTCTGTCTACAGAGGCAGTGAATTCAGGCCTAGTGAAGGAATCATGATGATAAACCAGTTTCTGCAATCCTGATGCCTTTCTCTGTCAGTTGTCTGTGAGGCAGGCTTGTAAGCCACTCTGTCTAGTAAGATATAGGGAGATACCTAAAGCTCTGAGCAAGAATTTTTACTGGGCAGCTTATAAGCCAGAGGAGGAAGCCTTCTGCTTTTGGCCATTCATTATCGTTTGGTTATTATTCTGTAGGAACATGGTTTGACCTTGAAGAATAGGCCAAAGCAGCACATTACAGTGCTACCTTAGCAACCCACACTTGTTGAGTTACTAATCTGACCTTGGAAACACCTTTACGTTTCTTCTTAAACAGTGTGCATAAATGCTCTCAGTTTAAACCCATTAGTGGAATGCTCTGTTATTGTGGCTGATGGCAATTCCAACCATACCTAGGTCAACGCAGCACGCTGTCACTTGGATATGACTCAGACTGTGCTACTTGGATTCCAAGAATCCTGACTCTTGGAAAACAAATATAATGTCCAGCCACTAAGAGAGAAAACATAAGGATGGGTGTATTGGTGATTTTAGCCTCATAAAAATCATATTTGAGCTTCTAAACTCATATAATAAAAAAGTTATCTTTTTATAATGTTAATGCACATTCTTCCTGGCAAAGTGCAGGTGGATTGTTCTGATCTCAATTACACACTATTTATTGCTAAGTAAAGCAAGATAAGACCTGTAAAGTACTTAAAATAGAGCTCCGTATGGTAGACGTCTAGTGAGTTGCAGATGTTTCTCATATATTTCTTTGTTTGACTACTAGCATTTTATTTTGACAGATTACATCCCACAATTAATAATAGTCTCACCACACACACACTTGATACATACTGGATGGAGAGAGTGCCTTATACCCTGATCCTGTAATGGAATATGGATAATTTTACTCAATATTGAAGAAACTACTCTCTGAGAAAAGTCTGGGAAAATGTGATTATATTCCAGTTAGAGACCCATGTTATAAATTAATGAGAGAAATTTTGAGTGATAGTAATTTGAGGACTCCACCATAAAAAAAAAAACCAGGCACCTCCTTCTTATTCATATTGTCAAACAAGTCTGGATCGGTACCTTAACAAAACCAGTTCTAGACAAGGGCAGACAAGAGGGTTCTCAAGTCCATTTGAAAGAAAAACAGCTGTGTTGTCTTGTGATCTACTGCTCTTCTAAAAATACCTCTTCAGAGAGAATTTCTCAATTTTTCATGTCAGTGAACTGTTGACAGACTGAAATCAATCCTGTCTGTACCTCCTTAGGCAAACATGGCCTCTTCCTTTAAAGTCCAGGGTGAGTGAGGACAGCTAAGAGGAAACCGCCATCCTGTCATAAAACTTGGCAAAGACACCTGCAAAGAGGTTCCAGAGAAAGTGCAGTTCCACGCTCTACACTGAAAGCTAACTGGGTTCTGGTGAACACTCTGTCATTGTTGTAGGAGCAGGAAACGTGCGTCAGTGCACAATGGAGAATGGCATCCAGTCACTCATGCTGAATGCTGAGGACTCTCATGGCTGCATTCCCAATGCCTAATGGAGTACCTGAGTGTGTGTGTGTTTGTGTGTGTGTGTGTGTGTGTGTGTGTGTGTGTGTACATGCACGCATGCACGTATTCTGCATACATTTGTGTGAGCATGTGGGGGGGGTGGGCAGAGGTTAATGCTAGGTGTGTTTCCAATTCTGCACCTTATATGTTGAAGTAGTGACTCTCATTTGGATCCAGAACTCACTGAATTGTCTAATCTAGTTAGCCACCTTATTCTGGGGATCCCTGTCTCTGCTTCCCAAACGCTGGGAGTACAGGCAGACTGCCATGTCCACTTTGCATTTACATGGGTAATAGGGATTTGAACTGTGGTCTTCATGCTTGCCCAGTAAGTGTTCTAATCACTGAACCATCTCCCTAACCCCCTTATGTATGTATGCATGTATTTATGTATATATATATATATATATATGTCTACATCTGTATTTACATTTACTTAAGTGTATACACACACACACACACACACACACACACACACACACACACACACACACACACACACCTCTGGAGGCAGAAGCTGGAGCAGACACCAGAAACCGTGAAGAAATGCTACCGACTGGCTTGCTTCTTGGCTTGTTTCTTCTGGCTTTCTCAGATAGCTGTTTTCTATAACCTAGGCCCACCTGCCTAGGGATGGCATCACCTGCAGTGGGATGGCCCTCCTTCATCAATTAGCAAGTAAGAAAATGCCTCACAGGCATGGGTGGCCACAGGCC